TTGTCATCCCTACATGAAGAATAAAAGTGAAAAAGGTGGAAAGGAAGAAAGGCCTTAAAGAAATTTAAGGCTTGCAAAATAGGACGAGGGTGCAAAGAAGCTGGGTGCTGTCACTAAGGTGCTTAAATTTTTGGCACCTACTCCAATAAGGCCAAAAAGTGGGGGGCAATGTTTACACCTAATTTTGCAATAAATATAATGATGCCACGTGTCATCCCTGTTGACAAGTATTTCATTTGTTGAAAAACTGTAGATCTCTCTCAGATAATATTCAGTAGTTATTTCCATAACATCGACAAAGCCATTTGATTGTTGCAAACTTCCAGGAGCATAATTGGTAGCACCAGTATGTTAATTGATTTGTTGCAAATTTTACACTACCTTTAGTTTTCAAAATGCTACCATAGATCTCCAACATGCTACCAAGGGATGTTTATTGCTATAAATATGCGAAGAAGAAACCAAGTAAGACAGACTTGCCTCTCACACAACAAACTTAGCACTATTTCTTTTAATGCTCAAGTTTACCTTAGTTTCTAACCCTTTAATTTAGTTTTAACTCTACATTTCAACCTAAATTAGTCTTTAACTTTAGTTTAATGTCTTTTCCTTTAGAAATCCCAAAAATTAGTTGCATTTCTCTAAGAAAGCAATTCAATTCTCCTTTTATTGGTTTTATAATTGTAAGATTTGTTGCCTTCAGTGATATCTCTTTGTAATTGGATTACTTCCTTTCCTTTATTATTTTCCTAGTTTCTTTTAATATAATCAAGTGATGTCGATATTTAATTTCATGTTCTATTTCATTTATGTTGATTTATATTTTATGCTACTATTAGATTTTCCATGTTTTCAATTCATTTACTTTAGCGTAATCTATTTTTCTGTATTTGGATTTCCATTTTAGAGCTCTATTTCAAGTCAATTTGCATATTTAAAATTCATTTAAATTTTCAATAGTTTGGCAATCATTTACTTCTTTTATAATTTTAGTTTTTCTTGATTACATTAGTTTGGAGGAGTCTTTGGAGACATATCCAAGGCATTTTGTTATTTAACTCATTTAGTGCAGGAAGTTCATCTCTCATTCTATCAATCATCTAATCATTAAGGTGCAGTTTAAAACATTCTTCCATCTACTCACAACTAAGTTATACACTTGGACAAAAGGAGAGGTCGTTGGAGAAATCTTTTTAATTTTGAGTAAAGTAAGTAGCATGTCATTTCACCTGCCACATGTCAAGAAGATTTTTTGGGATAGCAAATAGTAAAGATTGTGACTTTGAAAGGGAGCAAGTAGCTAAAGTGACAACTCAAATAACATATTCATCAACTAGCCAAAGTTACAAACTCTAGATCATATAGATAAAACCAAAATATGCTATGCCATCACATTCAAGGATTACCTTAAATGTGATTACACTTGCCAAAGTGACAGCTTAAATAACAAATTCACCCCTTAATTTTTTATGCACTTTTTTATTCTTCAACTATGAAAATTGCATTTTTTTTAATTCTTTTATTAGTTAGTCTGTTAAGTCTGTCTATATATACATACTTTTAGTCTCTTAACTTATAATATATACACTTTTTTATCCTTCAACTTAAAGGACAAAATATATGTATATAAGGACAAATTTAATGGATTAACTAATAAAAAGACTAAAAAAAGTGCATTTTTCATAGTTTAAGAACCCCCAAAAAAAAAGCATAAAATGTTAAGGGACAAAAAAACTAGATAAAACTCTAAAGTTGAGGGATCAAATTTGACATTTAACCTTATTTTTAATCCAAGTGGTACGTTAATGATTTTAATTAGATAGTTTATAAATTTATAATCAACTTTTGTTTTTTTCCAGAGGAAAGATTCAAATAAAGATATGCATTTTGTTATTTCTTTAATTTAAGGATACTAACTTTTTGAGTTTCTAAATTAGGTACTATATTTTAATTTTTTTTTCTATTTAACAATACAAATTTTGCTTTATTTTGATTAAAATTGTTGTTTGTCATGTCATCATTGCTATCAAATAAATCCTTAAATTAAAAAAATGTAAAGTTTCTGTTTTTATTAGAAAGTAGTGAAAGTTTACTGACTAATTTAGAAACTTAAAAAGTTCATCTCACTAAATAGAAAAAATGAAAATATTTGTATCCTTATGTACACCTTTTCTCATTTTTTATGTAAATTAATTGTAAGAAGATGTAATTAATGCATTCTTAACATATATCATAAAGGCATAAATTTAAAAAAAAAAAAAAGATTGCTAAGTAAGAGAAAAGAGTAATGGTTTATTTACATACAAATTTTATACATATTATTTACATAAAATCTAAAATCTTTATACTTTTGCATTATAAATGATTGAGATTTATTTATTATTATTTTTATTTTCTAAAGAAAATTGTCAATTGCATTAAAAAATTATGACAAATCTCTAACATTCATAAGTGGATCATAACTCAAAAGAGAATGATTAAAAGACAAATTTTATTATACAACTTTTTATATATCCTTATATACTCCATTTGTTCAACTTTAGCATGTTTAATTTTGTATTTAATAAAATAAGGATGTAATAATTTATTTATAAAAATATATAAGAATAAATTTATATATTTTTTATTATATATGAATCCCCACAAGCCTCTATAAGGCGAAGAAAATTCCTTATGAAATTTCACGAGAAAGAAAATGCCTACATCCCTACCTTGTGAGGAAGAATATTCTTGGATTCTCCATCCTTGCGACAGGATCCCTGCCAAGCTTCATGAGTTTCAAAGGAAATTTCCATCCCTACATAAAGAACAAAAGTGAAAAAGGTGGAAAGGAAGAAAGTCCTTGAAGAAAATTGAGGCTTGCAAAATAGGACGAGGGTGCAAAAGAAGCTGGGTGCTATCACTAAGGTCCTTAAAGGTCTGTCGCTTACTTCACTAAGGCCAAAAAGTGGGGGCAATGTTGACACCTAATTTTGCAACAAATAGAATGATGCCACATGTCATCCTTGTTGATAGGTACTTCATTTGTTGAAAAACTGTAGATCTCTCTCATATGAGATTCAGTAGTTATTTCCACAACATCAACAAAGTCATTTGCTTGTTGCAAACTTCCAAGAGCATAATTGGCAGCACTAATATGTTAATCAATTTGTTACAGATTTTACACTACCCTTAGTTTTCAAAATGCTACCATATATCTTCAAAATGCTACAAAGGGTGTTTATTGCTATACATATGCGAAGAAGAAACCAAGCAAGACATACTTGCCTCTCACACAACAAACTCAGCACTATTGCTTTTAATGCTGAAGTTTACCTTAGTTTCTAGCCCTTTAGTTTAATTTTAGCTCTACACTTCAACCTAAATTAGTCTTCAACTTTAGTTTAATGTATTTTCCTTTAGAAATCCCATAAATTAGTTGCATTTCTCTCAGAAAGCAATTCAGTTCTCCTTTTATTGGTTTTATAATTGTAAGATTTGTTGCCTTCAGTGATATCTCTTTGTAATTGGATTGCTTCCTTTCCTTTATTATTTTCCTAGTTTCTTTTAATATAATCAAGTGATGTCAATATTTAATTTCATGTTCTATTTCATTTTTTTATTTCTATTTTGTGCTGCCAGTAGATTAAGGTGCAATTTAAAACATTCTTACATCAACTCACGACTGAATTATACACTTGGAAAGAAGAAAAGGTCATTGGAAAAATCTTTCTTATTTTGAGTAAGCAAGTAGCATGCCGTTTCACCTGCCACGTGTCAAGGAGATTTTTTGGGATAACAAATAGTCAAGATTGTGACTTTGAAAGGGAGCAAGCAGCCAAAGTGACAACTCAAATAACATATCCATAAAGTCAGATTTATCTTAAGTTACAAACAGTAGATCATATAGATAAAACCAAAACATGCTAATGCCATCACATTCAAGGATTACCTTAAATGTGATTACACTTGCCAAAGTGATAGCTTAAATAACAAATTCACTCCTTAATTTTTTATGCAATTTTTTGTTCTTCAACTATGAAAACTTCATTCTTTTAATTCTTTCATTAGTTAGCCTGTTAAATCTGTCTATATATACATATTTTTAGTCTCTTAACTTATAATATATAAACTTTTTTATCCTTCAACTTAAAGGACTAAATATATGTATATAAGGACAGATTTAATGGATTAACTAATAGAAAGACTAAAAAAAGTGTATTTTTCATAGTTTAAGAACAAAAAAAGAGGCATAAAAAGTTAAGGGACAAAAAAACTATATAAAACTCTAAAGTTGAGGGACCAAATTTGACATTTACCCTTATTTTTAATCCAAGTGGTATGTTAATGATTTTAATTAGGCAGTATATAAATTTATAATCAACTTTGTCCTTTCCTAGAGGAAAGATTCAGATAAAGATATGCATTTTGTTATTTCTTTAATTTAAGGATACTAACTTTTTGAGTTTCTAAATTAGGTACTATATTTTAACTTTTTTCTTTTTAACAATACAAATTTTGCTTTATTTTGATTAAAATTGTTGTTTGTCATGTCATCATTGCTATCAAATAAATCCTTAAATAAAAAAATGTAAAGTTTCTATTTTTATTAGAAAGAAGTGAAAGTTTACTAACTAATTTAGAAACTTAAAAAGTTCATCTCACTAAATAGAAAAAATGAAAATATTTGTATCCTTATCTACACCTTTTCTCATTTTTTATGTAAATTAATTGTAGAAGATGTAATTATTGCATTCTTAACATATATCATAAAG